AATTTCTTGCCTGCTATGTGGTAGGTACTTAGTAAGTAAAAGTTTTCTGAATGATTGCTTGAAGGGAGTGCTTATTTTCATTTTTCTTCTTGTATCTTGAATGCCTTAGACACTACCTTGTACCTAACTAGGTACTTAATAAACTTGCTGAATTGTTTAGTCTAAATTGTCTTAAGTCACACTTTTGTCAGGGTCAGGAAGAAAGAGGTCCTGAGATTTCTGTCCTAGTGAATCTCTGAAGTGCTTTAATGAATAGATGGGAATAATTTCTAATCAGTGTGCATTACTTATTTGCTGAGCCTAAGTATTTATTGAGAGATTGAATAGATTGGATGGAATAGATGGAGAAGATGAAATATATTTCTTGACTGGTGTTTTGACTGAAAAAATGGTAGTACCATAAAGAGGAATGGGGAATGCCAGTCACTTTTTGCCAGGCTGGAAGTAGGGAAGGAGGGGAAGGAACAGGTTGAATTGGTTATGACCCAGCACATACTTAAGTGAAGATGGCCTGAAGGTATTTTGTGATGGACTTCTTTGGTTCACAGACAAATTATGGCCTTAAAACAATTCAAGGGTCAGGTTTGGCCACCTCTTGACAGCTGCCCCAGAGTACGAATGAAGGCCCAGTGTCATATTTTTTCTTTTTTTAAAAAGTTTTTGTTTTTTAAAATTCAGTTTTATTTTGTTTTCAGTTCTACACCCTCTTCCTCCTTCTACTCATTCACTTGCCCATTAAGAAGGCAAGATATTTCTTCTTTTTTCCTTTTTTTTTTTTTTTTGCTAGGCAGTGGGGTTAAGTGACTTGCCCAGAGTCACACAGCTAGTAAGAGTCAGGTGTCTGAGGCTGGATTTGAACTCGGGTCCTCCTGACTCCAGGGCCAGTGCTCTATCCACTGCGCCACCTAGCTGCCTCTTATTTCTTCTTTTTTCTAATAGTTATCTCCTATTATTCTTCCTCTCTTCCTTTCCTCTAGGGGTATGAATCTATGCCTTCATTAAATAAACTAGGTCTTTGGAAGAATATAAAGAAATAGAACATAGGGTTTTTGCTCTTGAGGAGCTTATTCTTTAGTTTATTAAGCACTGTCTGTGTTCAAGACACTGCTGAGGTTTAAGATGAATAGAATAGTAATCTAATAAGATAGATATGACTGAGACACAAATAACTGCATTACAAATTGCAATGTGTTGAGTATTCTTTAAAGAATTGAAATAGAAACTCTCTTCTACTTGAGATGAAGGGAGACTGCTTCATGAAGAAGATAGTACCTGAGTTAGACATTCAAGAATGCTCAGAATTGCCCAGAAAGGATGGGGAAAGTTGGTGGGGGAGGGGACAAGGATGAGAGATGGACAAATGTGTAACTCAGACATAAAGTGGCATGAGCAAAGATATGGGGGCAGAGGAGGGCAGGATGAGTTTAGGGAGCAGATTTTCCATTGTTGGGATATAAAGTTCATGAAAGGGCTTGAAAGGTAAGTCAGAGCCAGATTGTTGAGGTCTGTGGATGCTAGGCATTTTAAAAAAATAATATTTTATTCTTTTCCCCAATTCTGTGTTAAAACAATTCTTAACTTTTGTTTTTAAGTTTTGAGTTCCAAATTCTATTCCCCCCCCCAGATGGCAATCAATCTGATACAGGTTATACACGTACAATTGTAAAACATTTCCATATTAGTCATTTCATATGAGAAGACTTGAGAAAGAAAGAAAAATAGTATGCTTTAGCCAGTATTCAGACAATATTAGTCCTTTGTTAGGAGTTGGGGAGCATGTTTCATCATGCGTCCTTGGGATCGTTGTATTGCTGAGAATAGTTTTCATTCACAATTCTCCATTTTACAGTATTGCTATTACAGTGTACAGCGTTCTGGTTCTGCTCCCTTTACATCAGTTCATGTAAGTCTTTCCAGGTTTTTCTGAAATCATCCTGCTTATTACTTCTTATAGCACAATAATATTCCATTACAATCATATACAGCAGCTTGTTTAAGCATTCCCTAATTGATGGCCATCCTCTCTACTTCCAATTTTTAGCCACTTGGTTGCTTGGATTAAAAAAGTTTGGATTTTATTCAGTAGACGTGAGGCGTCTCAGTCCTCATTTTTCTTACACTTTCTGCATTTGACATTGTTAATCACTCCATCTTCCTGGGCATTCTGTTATTGTTGAGTTTTTGTGACACTGCTTTGTTCTGGTACTCTTCTTTTGTGTCTGGCCTTAGTCTCCCTTGCTGCATCATCATTTTCTCCTGTTCCCTAATGATGGACATCCTCTAAAGCTCTGTTCAGTCCCTCTTCTTTCTCTACCTCACCCCTCTATGGTGATCTCATCAACCTTTATAAGTTTACTTTATAATCTCTAGGCAGATGACTCTCAGATTTATGTGTCTAGCCCTAATGTCCCCTTAGCTTTAATCCTACATCACTAACTGCTTATTGAGGAACTGCAACTGAACTTCCTCTAGGAATTTCAAAGTTATCATGTCCAAAACAGAAATTATTATCTTATCCTGAAAACCTACCCCTGTTCCTAACTTCCCTGTTTCTGTTGAGGACTCTCAAATAGGCAGCCTGAGAATCATCTTCAACTTTTGCGTCTGCATCATCCTCTATATCTAATCACAATGATCAAATCTTTTCAATTCTAGGCTCGCATTTCCCATATCATCCCCTTCTTTCCACTTACATTGTTGCCACCTTAATTGAAGTCTTTATCACTTCTCTCCTAGGCCACTACAGTAGCCTCCTAATTGGTCTTTTTGCCTCCAATCTCTCCCCTCTAATCCATCCTTGACATAGCTGCCAAATTGATCTCCTGAGATCCTGTCCTTTCCCTGCTCAAGAAACTTCAGTGGATAAAATGCATATCACAGTTTGGCTCTAGCCCATTTTCCAGAGTGATTTCACATTCTTCTGTATATGCAGTCTATATTCTAGCCCAGCTGGTTTTAGCATACCCTTTCTTGCCCCTCTGCCTTTGTGCAGCCTGTCCCCCCTGACCTCTACCTCTCAGGATCTTTAGCTCAGTGCCTTCCCTTACATTAAGCTTTTGCTGTTCTTCCCAGTTTCTCCCCCCACCCTCCACTACTCCCACAAGAATTTGTTTTATTTACTTTGTGTATTTGTTGTGTTTACTGTACATGCTGTTTCTCCCAAATAGGATGTAAGTTCCTTAAGAGCAGGGAATGTAGGTCTTTGTCTTTCCAGGGCCTAGTACATAGTAGGGTGCTTGATAAATGCTGAATGAATTTGACACTTCATCATCCTGGTCACCACCAGCCTTTGGACAGTTCAGCTTCTCAGGGCCTTTCCTAAAATGTGATTTCCAGAATTAAATACTATTCTCCAAATGTAGACTAATCAGGACTGAGAACAGAAGAACTGTCATGTGGACAGTATATCTCTCTTAAAGTAGTCTAAGCCCTTGATGTATCAGCTTTTTTGCTGCCATAACATAGTATGGCCTTATACTTATTTTGTAGTTTAGCAGCTAAAACCCCCGTATCTTTTTTAAACAAACTGCTATCTAGCAATTCCTCTGCCACTTGTGAAGTTGATATTTTTGAACCCAGTACAAAACTTTACATTTTTTCAAAATGTCATCTTCTTGGATTTTGGCACATCATTGTCACCTATCAAGGTCTTACTCCATCTTGACTATAAATATGCCATCTATATATTTATCAAAGCAATTGATTAAGAGTATTAAACAGCACAAGGGCTTTCCATTAAATACTACTTGAGACGCCTCTACCTCTTTCTAAATTGACTTTCTACACAACTAAAATCCCAGGTCTTTCTCAGCATGAGTTTTTGTCAGAGTGAGTCTCTACCATTCTATACTTTTATGCTTGATTTTCTTTTTTATGTAAATGAGTGGCTTTATTTTTATTCATGTTCAATTTCTTCTTTTTAGTTTTCACAATTCCATTCAGCCTATATTTCCAGGCTGATTTTACATTATTTCCCCTTGTGGATTCTTCTGTATGGTTTTGTTATGATTATGGTTTCAGCCTATTGAAGTACTTGAAATCCCAGTTCTGTCATTCAGTGTGTATTAAGCTATCCTTTTAAATCAATCTAAAATAGGATGGGTAGGGGCAGCTAGGTGGTGCGATAAATAGAGCATTGGCCCTGGAGTCAGGAGGACCTGAGTTCAAATTCGGCCTCAGACACTTGGCATTTACTAGCTGTGTGACCTTGGGCAAATCACATAACCCCCTTGCCTAGCAAAACAACAACAACAACAACAACAACAACACACACACACAGATTAAATAAGTAAATAAAGAGAATTGGGCTGATAACATTCAGACTCCTTAGGTTTACTTACCTTCCTTCCCATCAGGGTTGAGTGATTTGCCCAATGTCACACAGCTATTAAGTATCTGAGTCTGGATTTGAACTCAGGTCCTCCTGACTCCAGGGCTGGTCCTCTATCCACTAAGCCTCCTAGCTGCCCCTCTTAGATTACTTTTGATTGGGAAGAATGTAAAAATATGTGCAGCCAACTGACAAAACAAGTAGAGTCCATTGATTTTAGGAACAGTTTCGTCATTCAAGATTGGTGCATCTTCACACAGACTTCTGAGAATGAAGGGAGAGAAGAACTTCTTGCCAGAAATGTTACAATTGAGTATAATGATTATCCTCTGGAAGGATAGTACAGGGGTATGTGTGATAGATAAGATTTGGGGCTGCGTACATGGCAATATGACTTCTTTTATAAATATTATCTAGCTACTGACATTTTTAGCCTGAGGCAACAACAGCAATTTGGAGAAGAGGAAAAAATAGGGAAAGTTCTCAAGAGATGTTCCATATTTCTTCTCAGAATGCTTGGTGTTGGAAGGGTTTTTAAATTTCATGGAGGATCTCTCTTAGAAGGGAGTGTTGGATTTATGGTTTTGAATGTTTCTAAGTGAAAATGTACAAGTTAATGTACTACGATGTGAATACATGGAACTTATTTAACTTTTTTTTTTCTTTGCAGATATTTTATAAAATGTCTAATGGTTATGAAGATCACATGGCTGAAGATTGCAGGGATGATATCGGTAGAACGAATTTAATTGTCAACTACCTCCCTCAGAACATGACACAGGATGAATTACGAAGTTTGTTTAGCAGTATTGGTGAAGTTGAATCTGCAAAACTTATTCGTGATAAAGTAGCAGGTAAAAAATTAGGCATTTTTGTGAAAAAAATATTTGTATTAGTCATACTAAGCAGTTCCCATTAGAGAGATTTTGAATGGCTTCCTTGTATATACTTTCCATTCTGCCTCCGTGTACAAAGTAGGCTCATTGCTGAATGTTGGTTATAAAGTGAAATCATTTTAATAGCAAATTCTATTTCCAATTGACTTCTGTTAAATCATTGGGAAATTGACAAACTCATGTAATCCTGCATAAAGAAAGAGTGTGGAATGTGGAGCAAAAATAAGGGTATCAGAATTTTAAAAGGGTTTCTCAAGCTATAAGGAGGGAGAAAATGGATAAAACAAGGATGCCAGGGTCAGACAAGGAATAGATGAGTAGAGAAGACTACAATTTCTAAGATATATCTTGCTTCCTTCTCTGTTCTTTTGGAAGAAAGTTCATATGGGAAGTTTTAGTGTCCTCTGTGAGTTGAGAAAATGACAGCACCCTGAACATGGTTACTTTGGGTGATTTCTAGTCCCAGATTCAAGCCCCAGAGCAAACTGGAAATATGCACATATTCCTAGGAAGGTTGTGGCTGGTGGGAAACCAGGGGTATATTAAACATAGACTGAAAACATTGGATCTGTTGGTTTACTGATGGATTCCCCCTTGAATATAGGGCCATCTTTTGAAAAGAAAAAAAAGTCATACACTGAAAAGAAGTGTTCCCTACCAATGCCCTCTTTTGGAAGCAGAGTGCTTGGTTTATCAGTAGAGGTGAATCTGCAGAACTTAGAATAAAGCAACAAATAAAATTTAGGCATTTTTGTAAAATGTCAATGTGTCTGTAGGAGCTTAGAACTTTAGACTTTCTTTAGCTAAGGAAGAGAGTATTTGCCTTCCTTCTTCCACTTTACTTGCTCTATGACCAATGCAAGTCCTAATTCGGTTACAAAGGCTTGGAAACCGTATTATTCTCATGTCCTTCCTCCCTTCCCTGGCTGCTTTCATGCTTCATAGAGCCATCTCTGCAGCTGTGAGCAACATCTCTAAGGTCTTTTGTCTTTAGGTAGAAAGTAAAGCCCAGGTTTTGAGGAAAAGCATAAAATTCTTTGTGATAGGGAGAGCTCTTGGATGTTCCCTTATAACACTCATCCCTTGAAGTCCTTTACAGCCTTGAGAGTGTGGCAAGGAGGAGCAATAGAAGAGAGACTCAGGTAGTGAAATAGATAGTAACTTGGAATATACAAGTGGGAAGACTCTTACCTTGGGGCACGAGTTTACAAAGGTGCCTGGCCCAGGCTTACCAGTCTTATATATGGATCACAGGACTGTAGATTTAAAGCTGGAAGGAGGGATCTTATAGGTTAAGTTAAACCCTCTCATTTTAGAGTTGAGGAGACCTCTCTGGGCCTTGGTTAAGTGACTTGTTAGTTACGTCTCTAGTAAATCTAATCAAAAGGGTTTTAACATGACTTCTTACGTGTAATGGGTATCCTATTTCTTTCCTTCTCAGTGGGTGGGGGAGGAGTGGAAGGAGGGAGATAATTTGGAACTGAAAATAAAAATTCTTTTAAAAAAACCAAGGCTTTAAAATAAAAAAGGATGAGGAAAGAAGAAAATTGCCTATGGATGTTCCCTGAGCTGAATACTGCAGAGAGTAGCCACAACAAAAGAAAAAGGAAGAGACACCCAGAACTTCATAGGAGAAGAAAAAAATCTAAGAAAGAAGTAAGTCATCAGATCCCTAGCCTCGTATATTTCCTCACTAATGCCCCAAATTTTGGCAACAAGTATGAAAACCAGTGGTCCTGGTTTGGAGAGGCAAATTTAACTTCATGAATATCACTGAGACTTAGTGGGGTGAGATATATAACTGTATTATGGCTCTGGCTGGGTCAAATTGAATAGCTTCATATGAGCTATTTGAGCCTGACCACAGTGGAGATTTCCAAGCTTGTATTGTTTCTGATCAGCCGCTGCTGGACGTACTGCACACTGACCCCAGCACAGTGATGTGTTTTGTTCACAAAGGACAGTAATCAACCAACCCATTAAGTAGCTTATTCAGAAGAAACCGGATAGGTAAAAAGGATAGGTGCAATACTATTTTATACTAAAAAGGTATGTTCATATGAGGAAATCCAGGAACTGGAGGGGGAAATCATGGTAGACAACATTTGGTTGAATAATAGAATAGAAGCAGAAGCATTCTACACTGAAGCGTATCCTACAGACTATCTGGACAAAGAAGGGAAAAGGTAGTTTGGGAAACAGATCTGAATCCTGGCACGGAGACATCATGAGGTATGATTGGTGTTTCCTTTACCTCGTTGTCTCCTAAAGCATTCTTTGCCAAAAGTGGAACAGCCTGTAGCTTCTTGCTCTGCCTTGGTGATAATTGATGTATTCTGCCCACCTCTCCCGTTAGACTGGGAGCTCCTCGAGGGCAGGGACGATCTTTTGCTTTTCTTTGTCTCTCCAGTGCTTAGCATAGTGCCTGACATAGTAGGTGCTTGATAAATATTTACTGACATATTCACATAATTTCATCCTTCACAAAGCTGAGGAATCAACGAGGGGAGAATTGTTTCTGGATCCAGTTCCTAGTAACAGAGAAGACCTGGTGGCTGGGATTAGAAATGGTGGGGACTTTGCCTGAAAGTGATGGCTCCCTCCTAAAGTTGGTGGTAGAAAAGAAGAAGGAAGTTGAGTATTACCTGACATATGTCTTAGATTTGGGGAAATCAGATCTCAAGATTCAAAGACATGCCAGGCAGGATCCCATGGCATTTCTCATTCTACAGGGAAAGCCAGTCCCAGAGTAATGGGAAACTCCTAAAGATCCAAAGGGAAGACACAGATTACATTGAGGGAAAATGGAAGTCATCTAAAGGGGGTGATGTGGATGGATGCACAGGGATATCACCAGCACACTTTGGTTTTTAAAATATGTGTAGGGGCAGCTAGGTGGCGCAGTGGAGAAAACACCGGCCCTGAAGTCGGGAGGACCTGAGTTCAAATCCATCCTCAGACACTTAACACTTACTAACAGTGTGACCTTGGGCAAGTCACTTAATCCCAGTTGCCTCACTTTAAAAAAAAATGTGTAAAAAGAATGGAAGCAAGATCAAGAATCAGAGGGTGGCTGTGAGTTTTGGATAGTCCCGTAGTAATATCAGGAGTACTGCATGGGAAAGTAAGCTGAGACCAGAGAAGCCACCTGAGGAAGCTGTATTGGAGAAAGAAGTAGCTCCCTGGCTGAGGGTGATTGGGATAGTGCCCAACAGAAAGTCCAAGCTGTGCACTTAGTGTTTTATTTCTGTTTTCTCTTGTATGGAGAATGTTCTTTGTAATGAGAATGAAAGACTCCAACTGGCTAACCAAGGGGTGAAGCCTAAGATAATTGAAGAGATAGTAAGAGTGCTTCTGGCTGCCCTGAGTGAATTCTAGTCACTTGACCCAGATGAATCACATCCTTGGGTACTGGAAGAACTGGCCATTGTGATTGTTAAGTGAAAGATCCTGGAGAATAGGAGAGAGAAGGCAGAACTGGAGAAGGGAAGAGAACACAGTCTGCAAAGTCTGGCAACTGAGGTTGACTTTTATTTTTGGGATAATTCTAGCATGGAGCATTAAAGAGATGAATGGTGAATGTGCAGAAAAGGAAGTGATGATTACAAAGAAGCAGCATAGGTTTATGGAGAACAAGTCATGCCAGGCTAGCTTTATGGCCTTTTTGATAGGGTTACTAAACTGATAAATCAAGGGAATGTTTTGGTTAAATCTAGTTTAAATTTCATTGTCAATCTAGTTAACCTAGATTTTAGCTACACCATCTTTGTGGGGAAAGATGAAGAGATACAGAGTAGACAGCACAATGAGACAGATTCAGAATGTATTGAATGGCTGGACTCTGAATAGTCATTAATGGTTCCATATCTGCTCAGCAAGAGGTCTTCAGGGGAGTGCTACCAGGATCTGTACTGGGCCCTGCACTGTTGAACATTTGTGTCAGTGACCTGGATAAAGGTACAAATGACATAATTATCAGATATTCAGGTGACAGAAAGCTTGGCTGGATTAGCCAACATCTGGGATAACAAAGTCAGAATCCAGAAAAACTTAATTGGCTAGAACATTGGGCTTAATCGAATTCAACGACGTTCAGGAAGGATAAATGTACAGTCTTACACTTGAGCTAAAAAAGCCAAACTTCATAAAAATAAAATGGGAGTCACAGTAGTTTGTCTGAAAAAGAGCTGGGGGTTTTAGTGGATCGCACTATGAGTTAGCTGTATGGTGTAGCAGTCAGAAAAGCTAATGGACACAATCTTGAGCCACAGAAGAGAGGCGCGGCTTCTAGTCAGGTCCCTTCCCACCCTAAATTTGTAATCTTACGAAGAGCAGGGTGGTGGTCCCTCGGTCTTCTGCCCTGGTCACACTACGTCTGGGTATCGTGTTCCATTTGGGGTGGTACATTTGTCACTGAGAAGCGTCTAGGGGAGGACAAGACAGCCAGGGCGGAGGAGTGATTTGTGTCCATCACACATGAAGTTCTGTTGAAGGAACCCAGAAGACTGGACTTTGTGGACATGAGACCTAGGGATCAATTTAGCCCCTGAAAACAACCAATAACAGGGAGCACAAGTCGCAAATATCCAAATTTAGGCTTGATATCAGGAAAAACTGGCTAACAGTTAGAGCTATTGAAAAGTAGAATGGGCTTCAGAAGGGGCCACAGGATTGTGCTCTGTAGCTGGAACAGACTTTAGGCCATCTGGTCCAACTCTTTGCGGTGAGGCAGTTGGGGTTAAGTGACTTGCCCAGCGTCACAAAACTAGTAAGTTTCAAGTATCTGAGGCCAGATTTGAACTCAGGTTCTTTTGATTCCAAGGCCGGAGCTCCATCTACTGTGCCACCTAGCTGCCCCACTTTGCATTTATAGTTGAAGAAACAGGCCCATGAAGGTCAAGTGACTTGCTCAGGGTCACATGGGTAATAAGTGACAGAGGTTAGATTTGAATCCAGCT